CACGTTCAGGTTTTTAAACGTGTTTCAGATGCCTGGGTCTGTGGTTCACAAGCTTTCACCATTATGTTTTATTCCACAACATAAAATACATCAATAAATACCCTACTGCTGATGTCTGGTGCTTCACTAGCCACCTTTAACTTTGACATCTGTTCAGCTGCAGGGGGGGGGTGGTATCTGGTATCTGTCTGTCCAGCTGCAGGGGGGGGGGGGTATCTGGTATCTGTCTGTCCAGCTGCAGATGGAGAGAGGGGGGGGGGGGTATCTGTCTGTCTGTCCAGCTGCAGGTGGAGAGGGGGGGGGGGGGTATCTGTCTGTCTGTCCAGCTGCAGGTGGAGAGGGGGGGGGGGGGTATCTGGTATCTGTCTGTCCAGCTGCAGATGGAGAGGGGGCGGGGGGGGGTATCTGTCTGTCTGTCCAGCTGCAGGTGGAGAGGGGGGGGGGGGGTATCTGTCTGTCTGTCCAGCTGCAGGTGGAGATGGGGGGGGGGGTGTCTGTCTGTCCAGCTGCAGATGGAGAGGGGGGGGGGGTATCTGTTCTGTCTGTCCAGCTGCAGATGGAGAGGGGGGGGGGGTATCTGTCTGTCCAGCTGCAGGTGGAGAGGGGGGGGGGGTATCTGTCTGTCTGTCCAGCTGCAGGTGGAGAGGGAGGGGGGTATCTGTCTGTCTGTCCAGCTGCAGGTGGAGAAGGGGGGGGGGGGTATCTGTCTGTGTCCAGCTGCATTAGGCAGGCCTCCAGAGCAAGTCGGACAAAATAGGCTTGTTTGAGACAAGCAAGACCTGCGCAGTTGCGATCAACGTCTTGCTAGTGCGTTGCATGATGGTTAGTCATGTTGTCCGACTTGCTCTGGAGGCTCGCCTACATGAGACGTTGAAATCTCGCGGGACAAAGACGCCCGCAGCCTTGAGAGCGAGGCGCGGCGAGGCGGCGCAGTTGCTCTCCACGGGCTGCGGAAGAGAAATGCTTGATGGGAAACGACTCGCTGGTATCTCGAGCTGAGCGCTCATTGGTGGTTTTTACCACGTGCTGCTGATGAAACTCTCCAATTGGCTCGGCAAAAGTTTTGTGTCAGTTTTACGTCGCCACATCCATTCATATTTTTCATCATTGTTCCACAATGTTTATCATCATGACATTAATATCTATATATTTTATACTATACTTGCACTGCTTACCGTTTTCATACTTTATATATCTTAGCATATTCATACACACTGTTCATACTGCTCACAGGCTGCTGTGTATATCTAGTGTATTCATAGCCCTCACTGTTTATTCATCATTCAATTCATTCTATATTTTATTCTGTAGATTGTGTACATTACTTTTCACTTCACTGCTTGTTGCACCTGGTTAGAAGCTAAAGTGCATTTCGTTGTCTCAGTACCTGTAATATGTGCAATAACAATGAAGTTGAATCTAATCTTGAGCAGGAACAAATGTATTTACTTAGTACATACAGGGTCGGCTCTAGAACAAATCAAATGGGGGGGCAATCATTTACCAAGGGGGGGCACACACTGCCGTCAACAACCAACACACAAACACCAACGCAACTTCAATTTAAAAAAACATGCTGTAAAGTTTATTGTCTCTCACACACATTGCAGGGTGTAGTGCTATTTTATAGCGCACCTATGACTTCTGCATACATGCACGGTTGTGGCACGATCACCAAAACAGAAACATATGGACATAGGCCACCATATGAAAAGTGTGCAAATGTATTTAGTATCCTATCCATGTTTTAGGTGGGGGTGGACCTAACCTCCTCTAGGGGGGTCTGGGGGCATGCTCCCCCGGAAAGATTATTTTAAAAATATTGAAGTTAAATGCATCAATCTGGTGCACTTTGAGAGCAAAATGAAGAGATCTATGGATACATCTCTCAACATCCATATGAAACAGAACTGTAAACAGATTTACTTTTTCTTTATGGATATTTTACTAATCACTCCCCTTTTAAACTGTATTCTTGTGTTACTGTCCTATAGTATTTCATACCCGTTTTTCATTTATTCTCTTATTCTTTAATAATTATAATGATCATATAAAGGTAGCCTATTCCTCGCAAATACTTGTTTACATAAATGGTCACCAAACCGTTTGAGACCCACTGAGATAACTTACACTAAAGTTAACTATCTAAACACAGAGTCCTTTACCTCACTGAGCTGAGGTTATAAGATCCTCTCAGTCTGACAGGAGAGGACTCTCCTCCACCTTGGTGTAGAAACAGCTCTTTATATCCGTTAGCATAGCTAGCTAACCAGATGCTAACAACAATATTCCACGTTACCGCTCGCGCACTGACAAAATGCGCTCGTGCCACACACAAAGAGCCGAGCTTGAATGAAACACAGAGACCCATGTACTTGTACTATACTGTATATCATATTATTTTCGATGGCTTTACTGTATAATCAGTATAACAGATGGACAGATCGCCACTGGGCTTTCATCTAAACACACAGCCACGTAATGATAACAAAACAAAAGTCGGGGTCATTGGTCAAGCAACACACCAATCAGAGAGCAGCAGTGAGCACACCTCAGGCTGTGTTTCATATAAAGAATAAATAAAGAATACAAATTTGTATTCTTTATTTTTGATGTATTTCACACAAAAAACTTTTGGTGGAAACGTTTTAACTTATATGATTACAACAAAAAAACGGCAAAGTGGCAATAAGGCTTGCCCACCCTGCGTTGGGGGGGCACAGTGACTCATTTGGGGGGGCATGGCCCGCGAATGACCCCCCATGACGCCGACCCTGAGTACATATCTGACATTAACGATTAAACACGTGTGCATTCTTTATAAATGCAAACCGAGTCAAGCCGACTCCGGAGGTGGCGGTATGCACCTTAAAGTGGTTTGCAATCCGCCAAATAACCGAGAGAAGAAGAAGAAGAAGAAGGTGAAGATGAAGAAGAAGAAGCCGACTCCGAGCTGTCCGACTTCAGGCGAGCTTTTTGAGACCTCCGCTATGGAAAGCCTAAAGTGCCACTATTCGCCCGTTTAAAACGCGCGTTTTTTGATCAAATAAACGCGCGTTTTTTTAATATGATAATGAGCCCCACCTTCTGTTTTGCATAGCCAGTACATTTAAAGTGTGTGCAACCAATCAGTGAAGAGTTAAGCCAGACTAAAGCAATCTCTTGATGAAAAGTTCCTGTAACCTACCCCATTGTGAGATTTAGATAGAAAATAATCACAATAATTAAATCTAAATTAAACATTTACAGTAAATAATATAAAGTATAAACATATCTACAGTCACAATTTCATTAATGTTATTCATACTTTCTGTTGTGTAGTTTATTAATGTTCCCGTGCTTTCAGTTTCCATCCAGTAATATAATCAGTAGAGGAAAAGTGTGTGATAGATATTAACTTTACTCCACAATTTCCTACCGTATTATTAAATAAGTCAGCACAGCTGAGGGGACACCTGTAACTCAATTCATGTGATTTTTGGGTGATTTATTCAATAAAAACCTCTGTATTTTCAGAGTTAATCAAATGACAACCACATTGTTATCTAAAGTGTCTCAAACACGTTTAAGGAGTGCAATGCAAGTGAAAGGTACACTAATAAAAGTAAAACGTTGTACCAACAAAAAAAATATTAGAGTAATCAATCACACGAAATATTTTACATTGACTCAATTTCTTCAGATCAATCTGTATATTTTAATACCAGAGCACATTTATTTGAATGAAAAACAAGTTGTTCACACAACCAGCTTTGGCCTCTGAGGCAGCCATTACCTGATCTTAGACATGTTAATAAGTACCACAGTTAAAATGCGGTAATATGTGGGCCGCTTCCAAACATCAAACTCTTAGAAAAAAGACTTGTCCTTATTATCCACTGCACACTTTTTTAAAGCAACACTGACAACGTGCGCCTGTGAGACATGTAATCTCTGAAAATGATTAGACATGCATAACTTCTACAGTGAAAATCGGTCATACTGTAAGTGCAACTTCTGAATACAACACTTTTTCGCAAATGTTTTACAATGCATAATTATTATAAAACCTTGGTTTTAGAAACCTTACCATGTAACAATGGTAACTGTGAGTGAGTGCAACAAAGTGTCTACCAGCTGGGTTCTCGGTCTATTCACTTTTGGGCTCATCTTTTTCCCCTCCATCAGGACTTTTTGCACAACTTCAAAAGTGGATTGCAGTTATTTCTGATATCTTAAGTTCAGTCAGACAACTCACGTGTTCCTTTAACATGTTTATTAGAAGCAGCATATAGTTGAGTTTGGCGACTAGGCTCGGGCATCATCACTCCATAGATATACATAGCACGATGAGTGATGATCAAATAACTAACCCCCGAGCCTACAGGTGGAAGCTGGGGTGGAAGCTGGGGTGGTGGTGGGGCAGCGAGCAGCAGCGACGTAGAGGTATCTGCAGCAATAGCAGCAGCAAGCAATGCATGGAGAGAGATCTGGCAGGTTAAATAGAGCGGCATATTAAGGAGACTCTGTTTGGTTGGTTGTAGAGTGGCAAGGGGGCGTTATGTATGAATGCAGCATAAGTGCTCGAGTTGACTGCCTGAACTAGCTCGCAGGCTTCGCCCCATTTCAGTGCGTATATGAGCCCGAAGAGCATGGCAAAAGCTGTCGCAACCGAGGGCAAGCCGCTGAGGACCTCTGTTCCTTCGATGAGAACCTTGACGTCTTTGGGTCGATGAAAGCTGATCCTCTTTCCCAGTGTCAAAGGCTTCCATTGTTGCCTGCTCCAGTTCTCCAGCCTCAGCGTCCTGCAGATCATGCAAAAAAAAGGGGAATGGATGAGGACCACAGAGCGTAGTTCAACAGGCCTGAGGCGTCAGTTCAGTCGGCCCAAGAGGAAAGCTCAGGAGGTCATCACAAATGACTATCTTTCTAACCAAGCAGTTATTTGCATGCAGTACAAATATGTTTTTCTTTTATGAACAAACTTCTTGTGAGTGAGTGGGAGGTCTTACCTGGAATTCTTGATGAGATGGTCAACAGGTTCACCCAGGTAGATCATTAGAGATTTGAGGACGCATTCTCTTCTGATGGCGATGTCCACAGTCTGAGTAAGAACAGAGATATATATATATAATAAATTAAATGCAAATAAAGGAGGATTCAGCCACTGATCCCTACAGATAAAAAACTCATTCATAGATACCTCATCCAAAACCTGCAAGATCCCGGTGGTCTTCTGTTTCACAACTCCTCCCCTGCTCCTGATGACCTGAGTGTTTGTCCAACTGCGCCAAGAACTTTGTCTCCAATGGAATTGTTGTTATGCGCATTAACTCAGCATTTACCTAGAAAATATAAGCAGCATAGAAAACTAAAAATACTGAGAATTTATAATACACATGTTTTTTATAAAGAGCCAATGGTTTGATTAAAAGTACTCCAAGTCAGCTTGTATGAATGTAACATTTAAATTAATTAATCCACATATTTATTGAAAACCACCACCAAATAAAGACACTAAGAGTAATAGATGTAAAGCTTATATTGTGATATATATTAAAAAATCAACGTCAACATATTTGCCTCGGCTGTCTATAGTTGTTAGTTAGTTGGGCCCTCAATTCTTCTCCACTACAGGCTTACAATCAAGGGTTTCATCTAAATAATTACCTCTTCCATGTGAAAAAGTGCAGGCCACCGCTCCAAGAGGCCTTCAATGCTTGGCCTCCGATGCACTATTTCTTGTCTTCAGTATCCAAACGCCTTCGCCATCTTTTCTTTTATTGATTGCCGGTTGTTTCTTTTCTGTTGTTCTGCCAAAAGGGAAATTGTCTCTTGCTCCATGCTTTCTGGAGTCTCACCGAGGCGGTGCTAGGCGAGACTTCTTTGCTGGCTGGGTTGATCGTGATGGCTGTGGTGGAGGCCTTTGTCCCGAGGTGTATCTTAATCTTGTGGCAGATGGAGATGGAGGCCACTGTAGTGATGATGGTCCTCTGGTCCTTTGCGGTGAAGGCCCTTGAGCCACGGTAGATCTTGACCTGGGGGCAGGGACAGATGGAGGTTCTTGCTGCTAGGCCCAGGCAACTGTGAAATCTGAAAAAATATATAGGACAATAATTACTACTAAGTTTGTTAAAATAAAGTTCAAGTGGAATGTTTCTCAAGCACAAATAACAATGCACAACTCAAAATAAAATTATCTCTCTCTCTGGAGGAGGAGGAGGAGGAGGAGGAGGAGGAGGAGGAGGAGGAGGAGGAGGAGGAGGAGGAGGAGGAGGAGGAGGAGGAGGAGGGTGAGGAAGGGTGAGAGATAGACGTTAGTATTTGGTGCTAGCTCGGAGCTAACGGAGATTAGAAGCCGTTTCAACAATAAGGAGAGGGAGAGCTCTCTCCTGTGGGACTGAGAGAGATAACGTCAGCTCAGGGAGGTTTGGTCATAATTTCCATCTATGTAATATTAGTTGTATATAAAATGAGTTAATAAATCATTCCACTGTGTGCAATAGGTCAGTACAAAATAAAAAACACAATTTGAAAGGGGAGTGATTAGTCAAATATGCATAAATAAAAAGAAAGAATGCAGACTAGGTAAGATAAAGATAGGAGAGAGGAGTTGATCAAATATGTGTTATTGCTTGTGAGCAAGCAGGATTTTTGATGATTGAAATATATACTAGTACCCCCCCTAGAGGATGTGAGGTCATCACAAATAAAACAGGTTCACATGGATAGGATACTAGATAAGTGTGCACACTCATTATATACACTACACATTTTTCTTGGATTTGTTAACACTATAGTCCCTAATATATTTGTAGAAAGGCAGGAAATGGAATTAAATTGAGAAAATGTTTCATTGCCCCCTGTTTTGTGTCCCCCCCACTTCGCAAACCAAAGTTACACCCTTACACCCACACAATGCAAGTACACTATTACTGTAATATTTACATTTACCTATCTTCAAATGGATCCTTGTTGCTGTATTCTCCAGGTTCTGATGCTCCATCTCCACTGCTGCTAGTGTTACAAGTCCGCTGTGCAGAGCTGGTAATCAGATAATAAGCCTGTTGATCAGGAGAAAAGAATGAAGCAGAGGGAAAGTTGCTGCCGTTTGTGTGGTTGTTCTAGCCAGAATGTATTAAACACATTAATAAATTCACTTACAAATTATATCTGTTTTCTCTATTTATCATTCTTTGTGTAACCGGTCTGGATTGACGCCACATGTATCTCTGCGTTGTGTCGAATGAAAACGACTTCCTTCTTGTCAACCAGGTTTATTATCTGTGCAAACAGAATATAATGACAGCAGGAAATGGCTTCACCAGCTTTCTACCTCAATACTTCTCCTCAGTGAGGCCTGAAGCTAACTGAGAATGTAAACATACATTTAGCAAATCAAAATAACCGTATGACATATGTGTCTCGAATAAAAAATGGACATAAATCCACATGCCATATTATGACTTTGATGAAGGATTAAAGCCTTTTTCATTTACAGTATATAATACAGTGATTACAGATAACACACACAACCCGGTCGACTGTACTCACTTTCACACTGCTATGTTGTACAGGCACACTATTAGCATAGCATTAGCGCTTTAGCATTTAAATAATATGAACAATTATGACCTCAGACCAGCATTTCACATATTTATACAAACAGAATAAACTTGAAATGTAAGCCAGACTAGTGCAAGGGAGTCATACACATGGTAACATGGTAGAGCCCTACATTATTCAGGGAGCAACAGCCTGCGCTAAAGAAGCTAGCGGACGCCATTAGCCACACGCTAGTGGCGTAGCTCACAGAATGACATTAAACTACACATAATACAGTTTCAAACACACTTCTTTGATCGAAATATGACATAATCTGTGTCCACACTACTAACCGGTTGAACAGGAGAAATGAATGAAGCAGATGGGAACATTGCTGCCATGTGTCTGGTCGTTCCATGGATGTATAATCGTTCTTCTTCTTCTTCTTCTCTCGGTTTTTTGGCGGATTGCAAACAACTTTAAGGTGCATACCGCCCCCTACTGTACAAGAGCGTGTATCAACATATCATCCTGTCAGCACTTGTGGAATTATACCACTGTATTTACGTTGTTTTCAATTCTTCCAATCAATCCCTTTTCACTCAAATACTTAAGAATGGCCTTCCTGGTAGCTCTTACCCCCTCACCTTCTGTTCCCAGTATCCCCATCAGGCTCCACTCTCCCTGTCTCTTAGTTTTTCCCTCTCTGTTTTGTACATGTTGCAGTGTAATATGATATGTTCCACATTTTTTTTAACTCCACAGTTCCTATGACATAGAGTAACATTCAATTCTGTGTGATCCAGTCTGAGTCTAGCTATCATGATTTCCTAGATTAAGTTATATGAGTAATTCTTTTCTGACAGTTGTTGTTGACTGTATACTTTTAAAAATGGATAATGAATCTGTGCATATCACCACCCTATCTGGTCTGACCTCTTCAACCCACTGTAATCCTATTATTACAGCCAGCATTTCTGTTGCACACTGATAATTGATCTGACGCTCTTTTTGAAATTGATATTTTAAAGTCTGGGATATATATACCAACTCCAACACACTCTTCCTTGTTCTTAGAACCATCGGGCGGTGGTGGCGAAGTCCATAGGGGCTTGGCAACTGGAAGGTCACCAGTTCAAGTCCCGGAAAGACCAAGTGCTACCGAGGTGTCCCTGAGCAAAGCACCGTTCCCTACACTGCTCCCCGGGTGCCGTACATAATGGCAGCCCACTGCTCCTAACACTAGGATGGGTCAAATGCAGAGAAAACCGTTTTGTTACACGGTACCTGTACTGTGTAATGACAATAAGTTGAATCTATCTATCTGTGTAGGCTATATTTTGAGGTAATTGTGATAATGATTGATTAATTGTTGATTGCACCTATACACAACCGTAATGCTTTATATTGTAATCTATCCATTTTTAGTAATGACGTTTTTGCTGCTGCTGCATATATATTATACACCCGTAATCCAGAGTTGTCTTCATAATTGCCCTATAGATGTCAATTAGTGCCTGTTTGTCTGCCCCCAGTCTCATCCAGCCACTGCTCTTAATAGGTTCAAAACTTTTTGGGATTTTGTTTCCAAATGTTTAATATGGTTTTTCCATGTACATTTACTATCTAACCATAGCCCAGATATTTAAATGCATTGACCTCATTCATCGGCTTTCCATATGATGTAAGCTTCTCAGTCTCCATCTTGCGTTTATTTGTAAATGTCATGAAGCAAGATGTGCTTGCTGACAGTTTGAAACTCCAGTTGTATGACCACTTCTGGAACATTTCTTCCCCTTATCCATATGTCCCCGTCATCTGCATACAACGCAGATTTGATGCATCCGTCCAACTTAGTCAATATGTCATTTATCATAATGTTAAATAATATCAGGCTGATTGAACTCCCTTGGGGAATACCATTTTCTATATTGAAGTCTTTCGAAACCTCTGCCCTACTTGAACTCTGAATTCCTGTCTGAGCCATGATCCTGTTACTGGTCACTGTTACTGTCACCTGTCACTTAATTTGATGAGTAACCCATCCCTCCACATAGAGTCATAAGCCTTATCAATGTCAAAATATACTATTGCCATAACCTCTTTCATTTTCAGTGTCTTCACACTGTATTCCCACCTCATTGATCACTCTAACCAAAGCATTGTGGATCTTCCTTTGCGAAAACCAGTCTGGAAATTACGCAGCAACCCTCTTTGTTCTAAGACATGTCTATGTCATCTTCTCCATCCATTTACACAAAGTGTGATGTTAATGCTATGTCTGTAGTTACTGAATACCTTGTTTTGTTCTTTAATAGCTCTGCTACATTCCTCATTCCACCACGGCACCACTTTCTTCCTATACCCTCTGTTGTTCTTTTTGGTATAATTATATTTGCTGCTTCTTTAATGTGCATTGTGATTTGATTTGAGCACTCCTCTATACTTCCTTCTAATGCTAACAATTGTGCTGACTCCTTACAGCAAATTCTACATTTCTCCCAGTCTGCTTTACCAAAGCACCACCTGGAAAATATACTCACTTCCTATTTGTGTTGATGATAGAGAATACTGGGTAATGATCACTTCCTATGGTATAGTCACGTTTACATTCCATTCACACGATTTAACTAAACTATCCGTCACAAGTGTGAGGTCCCAAACATGATTTTGTCCCCCTATTCACGTCTATTCTTGTTTTTTGTCCATCATTAAGGCAAAAAACAATGATCTTTCCTCTAACATCACCATTACTGTCTGTTTGACTGCTTCCGCATAGGCTGTTGTGAGCATGAAAATCACCACACCCATACTTCCCTTCTATGACTCGTCCCTGCTATTGTCTGTAAAGTTTCAATGTGAAGATTTTTACACGGGTTATAGAAATGTACAAGCTTTATGCTTCCTTCTTTCATTGGGCTGCACATTTCTACTATGACACATTCCTTGTCTTCAGGGGATGGAACTATGCTATTGGGTAGTAAATGTGTTTAGGTTAGGTAATTAATCTGGTACTGAGAGTTATTACAAAGCACTGTTCCTAAAGGCTAAATATAATTAATTGTTGACTTTTTTCGTTTTTTCGTTTTAAACCGGAAGCTAAAGAAATGGGCGGGGCAGGGCAGGCCAGCCCTGACCAATTTGCCGCCCTAGGCAAGATTTTAGCTGGCGCCCCCCCCCCCCAAAATGCAGACACTCACTATGACTCGCGTGTGCACGGTTGTGGCATGACCACCAAACAAAGATATTGACACAAGATGTGTGCAACTGTATTTAGTTTCCTATCCATTTGAACATGATTTAAGTGGGGGGGGGGACCTCACCTCCTCTAGGGGGGTCCGGGGGTATGCACCCCCGGGAAGACTTTTTTTTTTTATATTGAAGTTAAAAGCATCAATCTGGTGCACTTTGAGAGCAACATTAGGAGATCTATGGATACATCTCTCAACATCCATATGAAACAGAACTGTAAGCAGATTTTCTTTTTCTTTATGGATATTTTACAAATCACCCCCCCTTTCAAACTGTATTCTTGTTTATTAATAACAACCTATTTGTACTGTCAGTATTTTTATACCTGTTTTTCACCTATTCTCTTATTTTTTTATAACTATAATGATCATATAAAGGTGTGCCTTTACCTCACTGAGCTGAGGTTATCAGAGCCTCTCAGTCTTTCAGGAGAGAGCTCTCTAAGCTCTCCCCCCGCGGCCCGCTTACACAGTAAATTCCAATGTTAATAAAAGCACACAGAAGCAGAAGTAAGTTTTTTTGGGAGTTTGATTTATTTTAAATGAATACAAATACAAAATTAAAACCTATAATTGCACACTAAAACCCTTATTTAAAAAAAAGAACAATTTCACATAAACCTCTGGTTTTTACTGGGACTGGGGGCAGTTCAACTTGATTTGGGGTGGGGGTGTGCCATAGTTTATGGGCGCTGTACGCAATATAGGCGTAGTTCTGTTAGTATAGATAATAAGATGTACTTTGTTGATCCAAAATCGGGAATTGTGTTGTTATGAAATAAAAAAAGTTTTTTTTAAAAATTTCTAATTTTTTTTTTTTTCGGCGCCCCCTATGCGCCCTTAGCATTCGCCTATATTGCCTATGCCGAGGGCCGCCCTGGGCACAAGGCAGAAGGCAGAAGAATAATCTTAGTTGTAGAAACAGTAGACTCGTCGAAAAATGTCCACGAGAAACTTCATCTTGCATTGCAAAAGGACAATAAATGACTGCACAAGACTTCTCCAAACAGATGATGGTCATGCTGTGTTACAATCCACAATAGTGAGGTAAGGGCCCAGCCTATCGCTACTATCGAACACAAAGGAATGCAGTTTGTTTTTGCATGTAACTTACAGAGGGGCTTGTGAGATCTTTCACACTTACAAATTCTGTCTTCTCCCCTATTTCACCAAACCGTTTACTGGCAGGTTAGAAACAATGGAGAGGAGCATCGAGTGGTCTACGGGGGCAGGCTAATAACGTCCATACAGATGTTTTACTTCAGGACCTTCGGGAATATATAGATGAAGTCCGGAGATCTTGGCCTACCACAACCGCACAACAAGGTAGGGTCGATGTGATGTGTACTTTGTGTTCGTGACAGGTCCTGTTTTAACTGCTATTACATGAACACAAAAACCATTAATCATCACCACATTTAATGTAACACCCTTTCAAACTGTAGATATTGTATCAGACTACTGGTGGTATACATGAAAAACTGCAGTAAATATACAAAGAATATACACCTAAGGGGATGGGCACATAAGAGCAGGAAATGTATCAAATTGTTGCGTGTGCCAGGTGTGATTCACATGGGGGGGGATGGGCACATAAGGGGTGGGGGGTTGTGTGTGTGTGTTTTATCTGATCCGGATGGTTACTAATTCCTTTTCATTATGGCTGTCATTTTTGAGTAAATCATCCAAAATTCAAATGAAAGTGGTGATCAGCAATTGGTATTCAAATGTCTACTGTGAAGGATATCATAACGCCTTAATTGCAATCGAATGTAAAACTAAAAAGTTATGATTGATGAAAGTAGTAAATCGGTCAGATTTGACCCGAACACAACAGGAGGGTTAAAGTAATTATTTTGTATTAAAATATCGGTAATACCAATATAAAAAAAGTTTTTAATCTGTAGTTGCCAGCTATTAATTAGCACATTCTGGTGAAGACGCTGAGTCTGGAGTTGTCCACTGAAACCTTAAAACTTGACTCCAATTCCACCTTTATCTCCTGCTGCACTAGATGCTATTCCCCCCTCCCCTATCGTGGGAAGTCTGGCCAGCTGTCATTGTAGAACACATACCACGTATCATCAAAACGTGGGAATGAGGACATTGAAAGTGGCGCCAGAGGGGGGAGTCTCTGGCCCTTTCTCATTTCACTAATTCCCCTCCTCGACTCCTATCCTCATGTCTTAGTCCTT